CTGACTTATTTTTGCAATCCTCTTTCATTATTATTTAGTGCCAGTGTTATTTTTTGTACTTTACAAATATAAACTCATTTCATACTCATAATGACCCTATGAAGTAGGTGCTATTATATTATAACACCTGTTTTTCAGAAGAGTTAACTGAGGCACAGAAAAGTTAAGTAGCATCTTGCTTTTAAGGGGCATACAGTAATTAATGAATGGCAGGAACTTACCTAAGATTACTGGCTTAAAGGGCACAACACATATTTGAATACTTAAGTTTTAATCTGTTTGATTGGAAAGTGGTTCAATAAACTTTATGATCCCATTCTGTGTACCTTTGACCTTGCTAGGGGGCTTCACTTTTTTCTGTTATCAAATATGAGTGCTTTACTTTAAGTGGTGGGAGTCTGTGATTCTCTTAACATGTGTCATGAACATTTTCCTTGCAGAGAGAGTGGACTCCAGAGATTGTCATTTCAGGACACTTCGATGGTGTCCAAGACCTAATGTGGGATCCAGAAGGAGAATTTATCATCACTGTTGGTACTGATCAGACAACTCGACTTTTTGCTCCATGGAAGAGAAAAGACCAATTACAGGTAAAATGTCTTTCTGCTTTACTTATTTACTTTAAAAAACATCCATGAATGGGCACGGGGTGAGGGTATCCCTTTTGCGTAGGGGATACAACCACAAGAGGGACTCTCCCTAATAAAGTCAAGTATTTTGACCTGGTTATTTATACCCTTATATTAACCTGAAATAAATTGACTTTTCAAAAACAAAACAAAACATCCATGAGCATATGAAAAGTGGGGCAATGTTGTTAGCCAGTAGAAAAATTAAAACCACGATTTGATACTAATACACATCCTCTGGAGTGGCTGACATAAAAAATACTGACATTAACAAGTCAGTATTTTGGTGAGAATGCAGAGCCTGGAACTTTGGTACATTGCTAGTGGGAATGCAAAATGGCATGGCCAGTCTGGAAAGCAGTTTGTATTCTTTTAAAACTTAAACATATACCTATTCTTTAAAATTTTAACAACAATTCAAATGTTGTCCAAATGTATTTACTTCAATCTGTATAAAAGTTCTACTGTGTCTTACAATTTTAAGTTCATTAGACAGCATAATCAAGTGTAGAATATAGGCAAATTTGTAAAGTCATATAGTACGTTTTTAACCATGCATAGTATTAGATAATAGTTTTCAGTGTTGGCCTTGAAAAAAAAGTTCAAATAATTGCAATAAAACTTTACCACTGGTAAGCTTTGAACTGCTGTGTGGTAGAGAAAGTCAAGATCTACAGTGTCAATTTCTGATAGAAATTCACACAACTGACTGAGTCAGTCCATGAGAGCTAATGAAGTTTATCACTGACATGACTCCTTGAATAACACATTATAGATTCAAGTGAATAGAGTTGAGAACATTGGGAACAAGATCTATATTCAATTTAGAAACAAGTCAAAAGATTTGGAGTGGTTTTCTGTGGCTTTTGTTGATTTGTTACCGACACTGCTTGGCTGTGGTTGAATGGGTAAATCTGCCCCATGATTGTATTTCCATGACGTAGTAAATAATTTTGTATCTGATATTTTGCTTGTTGAAAATTTGAGTTTTGGAATGTATGATCATTTTCATTCTATTTTAATACCTAGGTAACTTGGCATGAAATTGCAAGGCCTCAGATTCATGGATATGACCTGAAATGTTTGGCTATGATTAATCGTTTTCAGTTTGTATCTGGAGCAGATGAAAAAGTTCTTCGAGTTTTTTCTGCACCTCGGAATTTTGTAGAAAATTTTTGTGCCATTACAGGACAATCACTGAATCATGTGCTTTGTAATGTGAGTATTCTTCTAAACATTTTTCTTTGGTCTAGACATTTGATTTTGAATTTTAAAAACTTTTGCCTCAGGCCATGTTGTTTATTGGCTTGACTGTGAGGTGTAGTGAAGTAAATTTTGTGTAACAAATGAGCTTAGGACATGGTAAAGGCACATTGCAGTGTTCAGTTGAGGCATGAATACCATGGGCTGTCACTGTGCCAGGTACCTAGGATATAACAAAATATAAAAGATAAGTCCTGTCTTCAAGGAGATTACCATGCAGCTGTAGGAATAGGGGCAAAGGTAGAGGTGAGGGGTAGAACTAATGTACTTGCAATTATTTGATAGGACACTGAATTTCTAAATCTTGCAGTACTAATAGAAAGAAGAGGTTACTGTATTGGAGTAATGTAAACACGTTTAACAGGACTTCATTTGGGTTTTAAAAAATAGAATAGATTTTTATTATAGTTTTGCTTATATTTATACTTCCTTCTGTAAAAGATTTGAGCTATTTAT